ACCCCAGATCAAAACCAAAAGTTTAAGGAGATATATATTTTTTTTAAAGGAAGAAGTGGAAAAGAAGCCACACGTTGGGTCTAGCCAATTGAAACGAATAAAATATGAGAATTGACAAAGTTCAGAAGAACTGAAAGAGAAGGAAGGAAAATATTAAAAATATGGCTAAGCTCAGAGGAACAAAGTTAAACGGCCAAAGAGACACTAAATCTCAAGTGAGTGTTCGGGCTAGCTTCGATGCACTGGATTGCGGCTTTAAAGATACAACAGATAACAAGGATAATGAGCTAATGAGACAAGAAACGAAATGAGACCTGACAATGTCAAACGTGATATAACTAAAGAAGGTCACTGGGAATAAATTTATAGAAAGAGAACACTAAGAAGAGAAAAGAAGGGCGCCAACTCAACGATAGTTGAGATTTTGAAGCAACAAATAAATCTGGAGATAGTAACCTGAAATGCAAAAAAAACTAAATAATAATCTTGTTTTGCTATGTTATATACTGGTTAGTAGAACTGAAATAAAACTCAAAATAGTAACAACAAATATATTTATAAAAAGAATGTATATAGATACATGTGTATAACCAATTTACATATAATGCAAAGCTAAATATACAGTGGTAGTGGGTATAAAGATAAAATGGGACCTAATAGCCCCTCCACAAGCAAATAGTCACTACCACTGGCCAAATAAAATGTAAATATTAGTATTAACAAGAATAGTCCGTTAGGGTAGCCGAAGTCTTAACACTAAGGTTAGTAATCTCAATTTAAATAGTTCTACTAAACTGATAAACTAATCAACGTATTGTACAGGTATCAACAGTGATAACTCTGTTACAATTATCTTAAAAGTGAGTTTTCAATACTCCTTATCTATTTATTTTAAAGTCCACATAAAATTTATTTCCCTCCCCAAAATATTTTAATATTATTACATCAAAGTATGTATTGTATTATAACATGAAATCCAAGAAAATGAGTTATGGTCAGACTCACTAAATTCTTTAGTTAACCTAATAACCTATAAAAATGTCCTTTTTCCTCCCCGAATATTTTATATTAATTAAATTATCAAAGATATTAACCACTCATATGCATATGAATAGCTCACAGTGAATTAAATATACAATAGCAAATGGTCACAACAACTTATCTTTAATAACAATAGGTCCCTCCAAACTCAGCTGGGCACATCAAAACTAGTTCATCATGGTGACAAGTCCCATATTTTGGGGTTACTGCAAAATCCACGGATTCACATAAGCAACCTGCTAACCATACTTTGAAGTGTATATATATATTTTATATTGAATATTTAAGTGACGGAATCTAAAAGGATTAATTAGTTTAATAAATGTGATTCAATAGCTGTAGCAGCATGGATTCAACTTTACCAAAGCACAACATTAAACATTAGGTTAGGTCAACATCATGTCAAAATTCATGAAGTTATTTCCATGGCATGACAGGAAATGAACATGCGCAAAAATATAGAAGGCTGTCCAATAATTGTAGGACCTATTATATTTCACCAAAAAAAGTTAAATAAAAATTGAACCAAAAACTTAATGATAACGACGTGGACTAAAACAGAATTTAAGTTTGACTATATAAAAAAAATGACCTTCTGTTCTTGGCAAGTAAATCAAGGAAATTTTATATTTAAATTATTTCGGAACTTAAAAATAAATCTCTAGGAAATACTACACTGCAATGACTGCCATGAATTTTAGTGGATGATAAAGAGGTAATAAGTATGAAATAATATACTTACTGGAGAACGTGACACGCCAAAAAAATCTTCCTTTTTTAATTGGAACTCTTAAATCATTTTGCTTTTTTTTTAAATTAATTATTTTTATACATTTACTGAGATATTATTATTACTTAATTGAATATTATTTTATTCTTCCTAGATTATTTTTATTTGTTCCAATTCCGTCACTTGGATTGACTGGCGTATTATCACGTCTGAGTTTTGACCATAACTGCCGGCACCTTTGCAAAATCCATCGGTCCCCACTTTCAAAGCCACTCCAGCGCGTGAGTAGAGAAAGGTCGATGTAAAATCGAACGCTGGCGGGTCAAAAGAAATTTCTTGAGGGGTTTAGTGACCACGATTTTAAATTGGACACTTGATTAATCAGTAGCGTAAACGCTACATTGCATTGCTCTTCATCCACACAATGTTCATAATAGACAATATCTTCTTAAATGAAATCGTAGGCTTCCACGGCCAGAGTCAGAATTATAGTTTATTCGTCTTCCGGGTTTGGACCGTGTCATTTGTGAGTGACCCAAAAGTGGGTTCATCTCGACGTTTCGCTACAATTGTATGTAGCTTCTTCAGGAGAACAAAGAAAAAGAAATCAAAAGACAGGAAGATGGGTAGTTAGCAACGGTAACTTAGTTACTGAACGCAACCAGAGGCGAATACTAACTACCAAGATGGGCATTTGGTCACAGTAACTCAACTACTTAACGCAGCCAGAGGTGAAAACCAAATGCCAGGACAGGGATTCACGTCCAACAGCTCAGAACACTAACGCGTCGATACGGTCCAAACCCGGAAGATCTTCTTAGATAGGAATAAATCCTATTGCCTCAAAACGAAATTCATAATTTAATTTTAAGCATTTCAAAGCGGTGTCAAGCTGTAATTAATGCTGCTGTTAACTATCAACACATTTGTTAGATTTTTATGTTTATATTGATTTTTATATTAAAAATTCCCATTAAATTAATGCACTTCTTTGATTTGTTTATTTCATCATAGAGAAATCATATGTGTTCCTTACTTTTTGTTCCTTAGACATTTTTGATGTGTTTATAGTTTATTGAAATGTCGAAAGAGCTATCGTAAAGAAAATTTAGGTTATAACATTCGTTTAAAAATCAAGCAATCAAGCACTAAGTAAGTGAAATATTTTATGTAGGTTTCTACTAGCGCTGCATCTACAGCCATTTCCCGACCAACACCATTGCAGGCTTGGGGCGCACGCCAGACCATTTCACAGCCACCGATCATCATGCAGTCTGTAAAAAGTACGCAAGTACAAAAACCAGTTTTGCAGACTGCCATCGCACCGACATCACCTCAGCTTCCGTCTCCAACGAGTACCACTCCTCCCGCAGTATCTGCACCGCCTCCGTCGTATACCGTTTCTATACAACAGAAGGGGTAAATTTTTAAAAATTTAATTACACATTGGGTGATACATTTTTAATGTTACACATGTTTAAGATTTTTTATGACACCCTGGACCATAGGCTGGAGAACTGAAGTTATGTTAGCAGGAACAAAAATAATTTTTACATTTTCCATCGGTGGGATAGCGTTGTTTGCCATACTGTTGTCAATAAACAAAATACCTTTTCTTTTTTCTTTTATGAACTTTTGGTCTATTTTTTTTTTCAGCCATTTCTCGAAAAGATCACCACTAGCCATCCAAGCACTTGCGCTGCTCACATATTCCACTGGATTTGACTTGATGTTATTAAAATAACGCGGATTAGCCTACTTGCCAATCATCAGTAGAGGCCAATTTTTTTTTTCATTGGTTGGCTTCTTGCTGATTAACGCACTTTCTCCACAAATAGATTAGAACGAAATTTTGTTGCGTTCTTTGAAGCCGTTGGGCCACGGCTGGACGGCTTCAATGGACGGAGAATTGTTCAGCTTTACTTCTTATAAGGGGACTACTCACGGGAATCTTTTTATCCCTGGCTTGTTTGTACCATTTTAAAACAACTGTCTAAATTTGGATTTTCTGGCTCCCTTAACATTTTTCGATCTTTACTGCACTCACTTTCACTGTTGAGAATTGTTTCTTTATCCTTGAAGTAGGTGGATAATGTGTTAGGAGGAATTCCAAAGTTCTTGGCAATCTCAGATTTTTTCTTTGTCCCTTTTCTACCTCTTTAATTGCTGCTATTTTTTCGATAACGTCAAAGTTTTGTATGTTCAAAGTTTATCATGCGACGATCAATACGAAGTGACATACTGACGTGATTTGCGGTGATTACGCAGAACGCCAACGCATCTCAACTGAAGGGGCGTGTCAGGTGGGGGAGAATTTAGGCGCTAGATACGGGTACAATGTACAATGGCCTTGAAACAAGTAGCACGTTAGGACAGGAAAGAATTCTTTTCGCGCAGAAATTTCCAGCATGAAATTGGCATTTTTAACTTGTAGAAAAGTTCGAATTATCCAAAATATAATTCGAATTATTCACGACTTTTTACCATTACTTATATAGGAAATGCTAGGGACGAGATACGATTACTCCAACCCCATAGATATTGTTTTGTGTTTATTTACACAAAGTATTATTTCTGCTTTCTGATGGTTGATACTGATAAAATAACTGATACACTGAATAAAAACTTAATTTATTTGTACATTGCTTATATGTTATACAACGTTACATGATGATTATTGAATTATATTGCTATTGTCATGCGCGCTGTCAACAGCTGACATGCGACGAGCACTTATTTACCTTACACTTGTGTATTCTGCAGCAGATATGTTGACCGTCATCATTTATGGTTATCAACAATACAAGCACTACTATTTAGCCACTTCATTTCGCTTATGCCCATTATACCTACTCCATGGCTGGTCTTTTCTTGAATGGTATTATGAAGTTTTCCAGTCTGATACACTGTCTTTATATTCCAGGACATATTTTAATAAGCAACTCTGAACTTTTTAGAGACACTTTTCCAGTTCTGTCACAGGGATTTTTTTTGGGTTACGACCTGGGAGGCCCTGTGATCTAGAGTTGATCTGATCACCTCCCCTGCCGAATCTTGTAGTATGTTTACAACTGATTATTGTTAGTTTTATATCTATTTTTTAAATAGTTGTTTTCAGCTAACTATTGTCTTGGTTAAATTTTTTGGATTTACAATTTCGTGTGAATTGCGTGACAACTCAACATGTGTTTGGAGAGGTGTGTTGGATATAATACTTTGAATATCTTCTATGCTTTGTAATTGGTTTAGTAAATTAATATTTTTTGATAGTTATAATGGAACGAAGCCTGCAATAGCTCTACCCGCCGCTAGTCCCTCAAATACCGTTCCACCAGTGACCGTACCAACAACGGAACCTCCGAGTTATGCCAGCACGATGCAAGCGAAAGCGAAAGCGCAGCGAGGGATGGGCGCCCATCCGCCATTACCCCCACCGCCGTATTCATCCGATGACAACCACGTCCAAGTTTATACGGTTGATAGTTCGATGTCGCCGAGGGCTAGTCCTCATGTTCACCCTTCATTACAGAGGAAATATTCTCCTGTTGTGAATAACGAATGCAGGTCAGACAGTCCCCAGTCGACTAGTAGCGGAGACAGTAGAAATCATTATTCAGATAATGGAGCACCTCCGTTACCACCTACAGGTAGTATTGTTTGTTGTTTTTTATATTTGAACATTACTTTTAACCTAAACCACAGCCTAGTTTTACTGTAAATAATATTTGGTTGTTTAAAAATCTACAAATTTTATTAATAAGTATTTGCAAATGCGATATTTGATTATTTAGCTTTCAAATCCTCGATAAAAAAACATCAAAATTGATTGAATAGTAGCGGAGATAATTGAAATTTTTAAGCCCGTCGGGATTTTGAATGTAAAATCAATTTCGATTCCGTCGCGACGGCCGCTCTCCCGTCAATTTTTTGATGGACGGACTACTTTTAATTTACATTTTAACCAACTTGTAGTGGTCTGTAGCTATGTAAATTTGTGCTCAATTAGTGCTTTGTATAGTAAAGATTTTTTTAAACAGATATTAGAACCTTATACTTTTATTGTAAATTGCAGTACCCTAATCGATCTTAACTCCGCAACTAATGAACTGATCGTCTTAGTTTTCTTTTCTTTTGAAGCGCCTTTCGACGTACTTTTAATATCCGTTAAAAATCTGTAAAATTTCATGTTCGGGACTTGCGTCAGTCCTAACCTCCTTAAGAATTTCTCTCCAGTGGTCCCTATCCATCCCTCTATATATATATATATATATATATATATATATATATATATATATATATATATATATATATATATACAGTATAGGAAAAAGTTTATGGTCGGTATGGACCTTACGTGAGATGGAGTGAGAAACAGCTGTTTAGAAAGAGAGAGGTATATTAGGTCCGCCCTTTATATCGCCAAACATGCATGCTTGGAAAGGGGAAGTTCAACGTTGCCAAACTGATTGGATTTTTTTGACCTGTTGTTTTTTTTTGCATTTGAACAATGTTCTAAGATAATCCAATTTGGGCGAAATTGATTTAAATGACAGCTTACTGTTTTTTTTTATTGGGAATATTACACAAGTTTACTTTACAATAAGTGTAATATAACATTTTGATTTCCACTTCGGAAATCGTTTTATATAAATAAAATTTATTATTGTTTCGTATTTTAAGTATGATTTCCGAATTAAAAATCTAAACATCAAAATAAGCTTATTTTAAAGTCACATTGTGCCTTATTCTCAATATGAAATAATAAACTGCATACAATAACGCCACATTAAAAAATATTCATACACAATAATTATTTGGCAACGTCGGTCTGGTTTGGCCGACCGAGTAACGAGTAGTAGAGTTGGGTCGTGGTAATTTTATCGTTAAGAGCGTAGACACAAAATTTCGTTCCAATATTTTTTAAATGCATTAATTTTTTGCGAATTCTGAGAAAACTAATAAATATTTTTGAAAAATTTAAACGCAGAATGAAACAATACATTATTACCGAGGGCCGAAAGTCCCTGAAAACTTCTATAATGTTTATTTTAATAAGTTATAGGGGTGAAAAAAAATTTTTGTTTATTCTAAGGGACTTTCGGCCCTCGGTAATAATGTAATCTTTTATTCTGCATTTAAAATTTTCAAAAATATTTGTTAGTTTTCTCAGGATTCTAAAAAAAAATTAATGGAATTAAGAATTAAAATTTTTGTAAACAAGTAACTATGATTGTTTAAAAGTAGTTTTAAGTAAGAGAGTACCTACATAAACAAACATAATGGCTATTATTGTTTATGTGTATATTTATTGAAGTGAAAGAAACTAATGCACTTTAAATGGTGAATCCATAAATGTACATAATAACAATGTGCCACTCTGTTCTATCCCTTGAAATCTTTTTGCTAAACCCGATATTAGTAATTGTACTACGTCGGATACTATGGATGTAAGGTTTGCTAAACCTTATTGCTAAATTTACCGTTTGCTAAAATTTTATTGCAATATTCTTGCAGGCAGCGTACCATAACAATCACTGAACTACCCTTCAAGTATTTTTGGTCCGTCATTGTACTTGTTATTTCTTTAAACGGCCGTAAAATTTGGGAAAGCTGAGAACAAATAATCCAGTGTTATTTATTTAGATTTGGTCTAAGTCTAAGTCTGTATTATTTAATACCGATGAGGAACGGATTGCCTCTTCTAACTCGGTAATTTTTTTTTAACATGTAGTAGGTGAAGTTCTACCTAGTTTCCACGTCTTGGATTGGCCGTTTGGGAACTTTGTTATGTTTGGGAACTACCCTTCAAGTATTTTTGGTCACTCATTGTACTTGTTATTTCTTTAAACGGCCGTAAAATTTGAGAAAGCTGAGAACAAATAATCCAGTGTTATTTATTTAGATTTGGTCTAAGTCTAAGTCTGTATTATTTAATACCGATGAGGAACGGATTGCCTCTTCTAACTCGGTAATTTTTTTTTTAACATGTAGTAGGTGAAGTTCTACCTAGTTTCCACGTCTTGGATTGGCCGTTTGGGAACTTTGTTATGTTGTAATTATTACTTTAAAAGTCTTTCTGAAGATAAGGTACTTTTTTTTAATTGTGTTTTTTGGAGAATTGTCGAAAATAGGATTTTTTATTTTATCTATTATCAAATCAGTTTTGACATAACATTCCTGAAGTAATGAACCTGACAGTTTTTCTTGTTGGCAGTTTATATCCAGGAATCTACCCTGCAAACTTTTTAAAAGCTGGTTCTTCAACCATTTAAAACGGATGAAACGAGTCTTTGCATAAGTTTAGTAAATCTTGAAAATCAACCAGTACAAGAAAAAGAAACTGATAAAGATGACTTAAGTCCGTGATGTATTTTTGATGAATTAATTGGATGTGACTCATCTAAACATACACCTGTATCGAGAGATATAAAAGAAGTCGACATGTATTTGTCTGATGATATATTACCCACAAAAAATTTCGAATGGAGATTGGAACTGTCCATTACCGTGGTGGAAAAACCATCGTCATGTATATCCTAACTTAACCACTATATTCATAAAATATTGTAGTATTGTAACAAAATCTTTTCCTTGTGAACACATGTTTAAAATCTGGTTTAATTTTAAATAAAAGAAGAACACAGTTAACAAGAAACGTGGAAAAACTTGTTTTTAAATGTCAATTTAGACGATTCGCGATTTAATAATGTGTAATGTAAATGTAAGTACTATTTGTATTGTTTAATTTATTTTTCAAGTTATAAGAAATATATCCTTCGTTAGGTTCTTTCACTTCAATACTTATACACATAAATGATAATAGCCAATATGTTTGTGTACTCGCTAATTTGAATACTGGTAAACAATCAACTAGTTACAGTTTACGAAAAACGGTTCCGATAAAAATTTAAAAAACGAGAGGACCCACCTCTAGTTTTTTAGGTATATTAGGATCGGAACCAGAGAATAAATATGTAAAATATCTCTGATCGGAACTATTCGTCTCACGAATGAGCAATGAGTGTTAAAAATATTTATGGAGGGGAGACCAAGGGGAAATATGATTGTTATCTTTGCCTATTCGCTGAAAATATGATTTTATATCTGCGTTAGATATCCTGTTAAATTTTACCATACCGACCATAAACTTTTACCTACACTGTATATATAGTCCCAAGATTCCTAAGAATTTTTCCATTTTTCTCCCTTCGTCCAGTACTGTCCTTCTCCAAGTTCCCTTAGGTCTGCCTACTTTCCGTCGGCCTTGGGGATTCCAATCCAGCGCTGTCCTGGCAATGTCATTTGGCGGTCTTCGGAGTGTGTGGCCCAGCCATCTCCATTTTCTTCGCCTTATTTGCTTTATGACATTTTCTTGGTTGCCTTGGTTCCATAAATTTTCATTGGAGATTCGGTTAGGCCAAAATATACGAAGGATTTCTATCCCTCTACCAAGCATCTATTCTCATATTTCTCATGTATTCATCGATTTTATCAAGGAAACTTGTTCTGAGTCGTCCTCTTCTTCTCTGACCAATGGGTCTATCAAGGAGCGTTTTTCTAGCTGGGTCATGTTGTTCCATCCGCATTACATGCCTCATCCACCTCAGACGTCCTATCTTAATATAATTTTTACGATGGCTGGTTCCTGGTATATTCTATAAAGTTCAAGTTGTATGGTCTTCTCCACACTCCATTGTCATTCACTGCTCCATAGATTCGCCTTAGTACTTTTCTTTTGAAACATCCTAACATGTTTTCACTACTTTTTGTTAGAGTCCATATTTCTGAACTTGGAATAATAAAATTTCTATTTTCGTTATTTGTGTGATTCGTATAGAAAATTGTAAAACACTGCAGGCTACAGATTAACGCTTTTAAACAAGAATTTTTGAATTATCATAAAAAATTGTGCCTCGATTTGAATCTTCGAAAATGGACTTTTGTGAATGGTTTATTAACATTTTATCATTTTGAGCGTATAGTTTTTCGTACGAATCTAACCGTTATATATTTTTAGCTTCTTCATCTGTTAAAAACAACTCAAACAACAACCACATAGTCAACGGCAATAGTGAAACTAAAGCCAACGATACACCACCTCAACTACCTCCTTATACGAAAATCAAACACCAATCCCCTATACCGGAACGAAAGAAGATTAGCAAAGAAAAGGAAGAGGAACGGCGAGACGGAAAAGTGAAGAACTATTCACCGCAGGCGTTTAAATTTTTCATGGAGCAACATATAGAGAATGTGATCAAGTCTTACAAACAAAGACAATTTAGGCGAATGCAATTAGAGAAAGAAATGAATAAAATAGGACTTAGTTCTGAAGCGCAAACTCAGATGAGGAAAATGCTGTCTCAGAAGGAATCAAATTATATAAGGTAAGTTTAGTTGATAAGTACAAAGTAGTGTTGAAATGTTTAGGCCACTTATTTCTTCAATTTTACATGGTATACATTTATGTATGTATTGAAGCACGGAGTTGAAGCCTGGATACTGACGCAAGCTACTGAAAAGCGGATTGAAGCCTTCGTGAAAATATCGTATGTGGACCATGTTACCAACGTTGACGTCCTACAGCGCATGACAAAAGAAAAAGAAGTGCTTAATTTAGTGAAACAACGTAAGCTTGAGTAATTCGGACACGTGATGCGAAAGGAAGAAAAATATCGAATTCTTCAATTTGTTATGCAGGGTAAAGTATTTGGCAGGTGAGGACCGGGACGCCGTCGTATCTCGTGGTTGAAAAACCTCCGACAATGATTTGGGATGTGCTGACAGGCCTTTTAGGCCCATTGTTGGATGGATAATTTCCATCGTTTTCTGTTCTTAGCTATCAGGTTCCAATCTCTGATTTCCATCTCACTGATATCTTCCATCACTACATCTCCCCATTTCTTTCTTGGTCTTCCTCTCTTTTTTTTGCTCTCAGGTATTCTCCAAGCAATATTCTTTATTAGTCTATTACCTTGCGTTCTTCCTAGATGTCCGAAACATTATAGTCTACGTTTTTTCACCACTTTTGTTATTGTAAGGTTAGCATACAAATAGTACACTTCTGCATTAGTTCGTCTTCCCCATCCTCTCTCTACTATTTTTCCACCAAACATTCTGCGAAGTATCTTTCTTTCCCATGCTTCCAATGTATTCTGTATGGTTTTGTTCATAGTCCATTTCTCGGCAGCGTATAGCATTGTGGGTCTAATTATAGTTTTATTATTTACTGTATTAAGAGATATATCTTTGGCTCTAATTATTTTGCTCATGGCTCCAGCACACCTGCTGCTCTTGGTCAGTCTCAGGTTGATTTCAGTTTCTTCCTTACATGTCTGATCAATAAGAGTACATATATTCATCTACGTTCTCGAATTTTACAACTGATCCTCCACCTCCAATTTAAAGGATCGCCTTGTATTTATTATTTTTTTGCATGCTGGTGAGTCAAGGGTTTGTTGGTATCACAGCCACCTTTACTTCCAAGCCATGAAGTAAAAAAGGCAACACCGCATTCTATGACGTCGGTAGTCCGATAGTCTTCTGTAAGGTTTACCAGAAAATTAAACTAATTTGAATTTTAGGAATCTGATATTTTGAAAACTTCAATTCATTACAGAAATATTTTTAGGGAAATTAAATTAATAAAACCTTATATATAAATATATATAAAGTTTTATTATTATTAAGGTTATATTATCAATAAAATAATCACTAGAGTAAAATTTATTGCACTTAAAATACAGTTTCAAACAGTTAATCTTACAATCAAATGTTGTCAAAAATCTCTAGAAATTTTAAATATTAAGTACTTAAGCATATAAATAACACAAAACATTAACACGACATTTAAAAAAAAGGATTAAAAATACAAAAGATATAAAATTTGTTAAGTAAAAACTTGGTGTAACTATTATGATTAAAAAATTAATCCTAAGAAATCAGACACAATATAAGTATGGTTCTAAATTAATCTTATTGAAAATTAAATATTTTACTATTTACTTATAACTTTTGTTGAATTTTCATACTTAGGTATACGAAAGTAGCAATTTTAAATATGAATAGGTGTTTTGTTATATAGACCAAATATGTTAAAAGAGGTATACATGAAAAATGTGTTGAATGTAACATACCATTTATAACTTGTATATCGATTTAAAATAACCTATGTTCTCAAAAGATTTTTGAATGTAATACTCAAATTTGTTATCACTTATCTAAAAAGCAGATCTATATCGAGAAAGTAAGTTCTCTAATTGTGACCATATTGTTAATTTACTATATTGTAAAATCCATTTCAAATCATTACTACTTAATCTATTCTTACCTACATTGATGATTACACTAAAATTACTGCTATTACACTACTTATTACACAAATACTATCACACTCGTGTCCCAACTGATTAATGTTTAATACATAGAAATGTACACAGTCACTTGTAATTTTACTTGTTCAGTTTTTCAATGGGATATTATTGTCTAAGTCTCTTAAAAATGATTCAAATGAATCTATTAAATCATTGTCTAAGCATTCTGCTATCTCTTGTTCCCTCTTCTTATGCAAAAAGTTTCTTCTGTCTTCGGGATTCCTTCTTTCCTTAGTACGACGAACACATACGTTACATATGATGGTACTTCAGGAAATATGTTAGGAACTGCATTGTCTTTTAGTTTGGGAAATATAAACTTTTCAATGCGTACATTTCCATGTTTATCTTCTCATTGTTGGCTCCGCTGAATATCATCTTCATGAAAATGTTTGGTACATACTACGGAAGATTTGGTAATTGTATAGCCTTCTGTATGAATAGAGCATAACCCAGTATACCTTCTTTGGGGATCTTTGGGAAACGAAAACGTACTTTTTGCCTGTTTCGTTAGTACTGGCATAATTGGTTTTGCAACCAGGTACACAACAATGCCGGGGCATCTGTTGCAAAAAACAAAAGTATTATTATTGTTGTTTTTAGTTTACATACTTTGTAACAAGAAGCAAAAGTATTATTATTTTCAGTTTTTTTTGTAGGTTATATTTATACTTGCATTTTAAATTGTCGTTAAGAATCTTTTAAAAGTTCTAAACTTAATGAAATTTCACTTATATTAATATGTTCTAATTGATTTAAACACAATTTACAAATAAAACATTCGAATAAAGTTAAAAAAAACACTAAATTCAACAAACTTTACCAGCCTTCCTATGTGAAATGTTAAACAAAACAAACCACGGTCGGACTACCACGCGTTGTTGCCAAATTTCTACTTCATGGCCTGGAAGTAAAGGTGGCTGTGTTGGTATCAATTTTTTTCTTGATATTGTTCACTGTTGCTTGCGCTATTTGGCATTGTTGATTTGTATTCAATAAAAGTGTCTTTATCTCCACCATTTTAGACACTAGCCTTACCCATTATGATTTTCTTCTCAAAAATCGAAATGTTTTGAAAATGTCTTTAAAATTAAAACTGATTTTTTACTCATTTTTTTTTTACTCACAATCACCACCAACACATTAATAAAACATACTACAAATATAAAACGATACTAATCTTTGAAAAACAATACAAAAACATACAAATTCAGTTGTAAACTCCAAGCCCAAATTCACCACAATGTGTATGTTGTCACGTAATTTGACACAAATGACAGTTCTAGAGCTGTCAAAAAAGTAAGGTTATTAGTGACAAAATATATTGAATCATTGAGTCAAAAAAGTAAGGTTATTAGTGACAAAATATATTGGCATACCTTAATCGCATAGCAGTATATGATTTTATTATAAAATTTTTGAACAAATTTGAAAAACTTAAACTTTTGTGACTGATCATAATAATTTGATCACTCATTGTATAATTTTATTTAATTTTTATATTTTTTTTTATAATTTTACTTAATTTTATACAATTTTATTTAATTTTTGTAATTGTTTATATTTTTATTTTATATAAATAGTTTAAAATCAAAATTAGCCAAGTTCCAAGTCTACTGGGTGTCCCGATAGGTAGACTGCAGATATATAAGGTTATTTACAGATTCCTAATATCTACACACAAAACTGTCATTTATGTTCTTTTTAATTTTCTTATAATCATTTTGTAGGTTAAAACGAGCAAAAATGGACAAGAGTATGTTTGTTCGAATAAAACCGATAGGAGTAGGAGCATTCGGCGAGGTAACGCTCGTTAGAAAAATAGATACCAATCACCTATACGCGATGAAAACTTTAAGAAAATCGGAAGTTCTGAAAAGGAATCAAGTGGCCCACGTTAAAGCAGAAAGGGATATTTTGGCAGAAGCTGACAACGAATGGGTAGTCAAGCTGTATTATTCGTTTCAAGATTCTGATATTTTGTATTTTGTAATGGATTACATACCAGGTGGTGATCTAATGGCGTTGTTAATTAAATTAGGAATTTTTGAGGAAGTACTAGCCAGGTAAGATGCACATTATATGAAACTTTTTTATTAATTGATATATAGTATATGTATTTTTATGAGTTTGAAATTTTAGATTTTTTTTTATTATGAATACATAATTATGTATATTGATGTCGCCCAAAATAGTAATATATCTTTACTCTCAGGGTTTTTGTTCGGAAATACCTTTGCATATTTGCTTAAACCGGCTCAATGCGAAAGTAGTAAAAGGAAATAAACTAAATAAACAAATATGTTAAATAAGATTATAAGTTATTGCATGAACTTAGTTATTTTCAGGGATTTTAAGGTTTTACAAGAAAGCTGTAAATATGGATAAAAATATGTATGCATTTATGCACTTGGACAGTTGGACCACTATGGTCTCGATGTTAATGTTGTAACAAGGGCGTGCACCAGGGAATCGCACGTATTTGAATTTATTAATTTATATTCGCTCCGTGCGTGACTGACACGACACCTACCGCCTTTTTCTGACAATTTTGGAGTCCCAATTTTCAGGTTAAACATATGACATATGTTTGACATTGTTAAATACATGCGAAATTGACAATTATTAATAAATTAGTTTTTTAACTATATTTTTTCAGTTTATGTACAAAATAAATGTAGTATTAAAAACTGGATTTCTCAAAATTCATCATAATATATCTCCAAACGTAAGAGAAAGCGAAAAATCTAGTACTGACAAATCAAGTTTTTCACGCAAAAGAGCATAATATAATTAAAAACAATAATAGTAAAAGTTATGATATAAAAGCTAAAGTCATCTGCAGTTAGCTTGAAGCCTTATGAAATATCATTCAAGGTAAATTATTTAAATTTTTTCTATTTCAATTGCGTAAAAATGAAATTATGTGATATTTACTTTTTCATATTAATAGCAGGAATTTATCTTTTTCTTTTCTCTAATTTATATGTAATCTTTGGGAACCTATAAAAACTACACTCACTGTTTTTGCTATTATTAGCACAATTAAATACGCAACATGCATTTGCACACATTTTTGATAAAATTTATGCGTAAAAATATTTTGTCCAATATTCCAATTTTGTCATATTTCGCCGCTATGCACGCTGGCGTCGTTTCAATGTACCCCTACCATGGTCACGCACGGAGCGAATACTCAATCAAACTTATATGGAATCATATGATATTTCCTATTGTTTTAATAGAATTAAAAAAAACTATCTACAAAGTCAAAAATATTTATTTTAAAGCAATTTAATCACCAATACATAAAAGTTAATGAAACCCATAAATTATTAAATAATATAATTGAAATTATTTGGTTTTAAGTCAATAGCATACAACATTTCAATGTACAGGGAGTGATGTTTAAATCGTTTTTATTTATTTATGTTTTTTGGTAGTCGGTGTTACTAACCCTATGCCTTAGGCAAGCTCCAATTCGCGTGGGCATACTCCTAAACAAAATGTCAAAATTTTATTGTGGTATTTTTTAAGCATATCCCACAAATGTTCTATAGGGTTAAGGTCGGGCGAGCAAGCAGGCCACTACAGAATAGTGATATCTTCTGCTTCAAGGAAGGTTGTAGTGCTTCTGCTGGTATGTGGAGGTGGTACTTTAATAGGAAAGCAAAACCGTACACCTATGGCTTCTTATGTGCCTTAGCGTAATTCTGTTTATTCCCAGGGCATATTTATTATGTATGCACCCTTTTTAACACAATTCTTAAATAATATTTGTTGAAAACGACTGAAACGTCAAATTTTTTGTTAAAAATATCATTTTAATTCTAAAGTTTTGCTATATCGTTTACTGTTTTTAGGTTTTATATAGCAGAATTAACGTGTGCGGTAGAAAGTGTACATAAAATGGGTTTTATCCACAGAGACATCAAGCCAGATAATATTCTCATAGATAAAGATGGACACATCAAGTTGACTGATTTTGGTCTGTGCACAGGTTTTCGGTGGACCCATAATTCCAAGTATTACCAACCCAACGGTAAGTAATTTAAACTTGGTATTTAAATAGCTCCTAGTAATCTTGAATTCGCAGTTCACCTAATTTGCCATCGAAGAGGAGTTTCCTGACTTCTTGTTGCTTCATATAGAGGTCGCTACTAACGTACACAGACATGTTATGTTGCCATAACTACCATAAATAAAATCATTTCATTTCAATTCGAGCTACTACAAGTCTTCCTGGGGAGGAATGAAATCTCGCAATACTTGTAGAGGAATGGTGGAGCTCGAATTAAATGAAAATACAATCGTTTACGTTCATTTTAACGTCTTTTCTCTATGTAAAGAGCGCAAAGATTGTGTTTTTCAAGGGTAACCTGTAATTGTATTGTCGGAATAAGATTATTCCTAACATCGTCCAATAACTTCCATTAAGCTTGGATGTCGTATTTTTGCTGCTATCGTGACTCGTGACTCTCTTCCATTTCTTCCTATCCTTGCACTGAACTTTCCAGTCTTTAATATTCATCGTTCTTATAATATCTTCTTCTACATCATCCAGCCATCTTCTAGGCTTTCCTCTACAGCTGGGCCATAATGGCGTCCAGTTAGGTATCCTTCTCAGCACATCTGAGTGTGGGCGTCTCTGTAAATGTCCTATCCATTCTAAGCTAACTTCACTTTCCAGAGGAAAGTTTTAATTAAACTGTTGATGGGTCGTTTCATAATGTGTCTTTAAATTAGTAATTTGACTGGAATAAACAGGAACAGCGCCAGGTCTATCAGGAAGCGTAAAACAATACTGTTCAGTTCATTCAGTCAAAAACTTCCTATTTTCACTATTAATTTTACGCTTTTTACGATCCATATCAATAAAAAATAAAAATCACAAGTTAACCAAGCGAACAACACAAATGACAAACTGTTACCTACCTACCTACCTACCTACCTAAAGAGGTCTACCTTCCGAACGCTGATACTCACGTGAGGCATGGTTATATGTTGCCTGAAGTTAAATCTAATAAAATATTAAACATCATTCATTTTTAACAACAATATGTACATTTTTTGGTAACTTTAATTTTCTGTAAAGGGTTTTACCATAATATTTTGGTGTCTCAGGCATGTTATCCTACTTTTAACCTGATGATGGAATTATTATTCCGAAAACGTTTGTTATTTTGATGTAGCCCTACTAAGGGTTTTTTTAAAAAGCCCTTCCCCAGTGTATTTCGCCAGTCGTTTCTGTTCATCGCCAACCGTTGCCAATTTGCCGCGCCGATTTTCCTTGCGTCCTCGTCCACACCGTCCCTCCATCTCAGTCGTGGTCTGCCTCTACTCCTATTTCCCACTGGGACCGATAATAGAGTTAGTCTGGGTGGGTAATTTTCATTTGCTCTTGACACATGTCCAGCCCATCTAAGCCTACCTATTTTTATGAAGGATATTACATCTCTACCATTTACTATTTTTTTATACTTCTCGTACAATTCGAAATTATATCGCCTTCTCCAAATACCATTCTCACAGAATGCGCCCATTATTCTTCTTAGTATCTTCCTTTCGAAGACGAGCAGAAGATTTCCGTCTGTTTTGGAGATGGTCCATGTTTCTGACCCATATGTCAGCACTGGTAGGATGAGTGTTCGATATATTATTAGTTTGGTTTTCTGGCTTAAATTTCTGTTTTTTAGCTGCTTGCTTAGTCCAAAATAACATTTGTTTGCTAGCAGTGCCCTCCGTTTAACTTCTTCAGATGTGTCATTATCGTTTATTATGAGAGAACCCAAATATGTAAACTTATTTACTACCTCAAAATTATATTGGTCTATACTGAAGTTTTGTTCGGCGTTTCTAGCTCTATCTCTGTTATTTGGAATAGATGCTAACATTTTGGTTTTTTCCTCGTTTATTTTAAGGCCCATATTTTGTGCGGCTGTCAAGAAGGTGGAAGTCATCTCTTTAAGTCCTCGTGCAGTACGTGCGATCAAATCCAGATCGTCAGCGTAAGCCATAATCTGCGTTGATTTATTAAAGATTGTTCCCCTATTGTGTAACTCGGCATCTCTTATAGTCTTTTCTAACGCTATATTAAAGGGAAGGCACGCCAGTGCGTCTCCCTGCCGTAACCCTGCATATGTTTCAAACGCTTGTGACATATCGCCTTGTATTTGCACTCTGCAGATCACTTTACTCATAGTTGTTTTTACGAGCCTTATTAATTTATGGGGAATGTTAAGTTCATTCATGGCTTCGTATAATTTACCTCTTAGGACGCTATCATACGCTGACTTAAAGTCCACAAAGAGATGGAACGTGTCAATATTGAATTCATTGGTTTTTTCTTATTTTCTTTCTAAGATTTGACGTAGCACAAAAATCTGGTCAATTGTTGACCTACCTGGCCTAAAACCGCTTTGATACTCACCAAGGATTTCTTCCACGTACGTACTTAAACGGCTGTACAGGGTGTTGGAGAATATTTTGTACATTGTATTCAGAAGAGTTATACCCCTATAATTTTTACATTCCAACAAATCTCCCTTTTTGTGCAGTGGACATATGATTCCAGTGCACCATTCCTCTGGCATTTGTTCTTCTTCCCAGATTTTGACTATTATGTTGTGAATTTGGTGCATAATGCTGTTACCTCCATGTTTGATGAGCTCTGCGGGGATACAATCCACTCCTGGGGACTTGCTATTTTTGAGTCGTGTGATTGCGTCTTTCACTTCAAACATTGAAGGAGGTTCTACGTGAGTGTTATTTCTTGGTCTTTTGGGGTGACGCATAATTTTCCACTTCGGTACCAAGTAGTTCTTTGAAGTGCTCAACCCATCTGCTTTGTACTGCGTCAGCGGTACTGACTATATGTCCATTTTTGTCTCTACACATCGTCAGCCGTGGTTTAAATTCTTTTCTTGTCTTATTTAGGATATTATAGAACTTTCTAGTTTCATTTTGCCCCTTTAATGATTGAAGCTCTTGCATAATCTGGTTTTCGAAGGTCCGCTTTTTCCTTCGATGTATGCGTTTTTCCTCCTTCCTAAGATCTTTGTACATTTGCTCCTTATCCCGTGTTCTTCTTTGTTGCATAAGTTTATATGCATAATTTTTTCTTTTAGTGATATCTTCACATTCATCGTCGAACCAACTGTTGCGTGGAGTGGATTCTTCTGGTCCTAGGACGTTGTTTGCCGCTTCTTTAATTGTTCTTCTACATATATCCCATTGCTCGCTAGCTGTTAAATTCTCATCTGTTGTGCTTTCATGTTCAAGGTAATTTTGATACGTTTCTAGTGCACGAGGCTCTTTCAAGAGTTTTAAATTGTAGCGAGTACTTTTCTTACCCTTTTCTTTTTTTGCGCCTACTAAGAAGTGGTCTGAATCTATATTAGCTTCACGATAAGTACGTACATCCATTAGATTAGAGAAGTGCCTGGTTTCTATTAGGATGTGATCTATTTGATTTTTGGTTGTACCATCAGGCGACGTCCATGTTACTTTATGGATATTCTTATGGGGGAAGTAGGTACTTCCAACGACCATGCCCTTGGATGCTGCAAATCCTATTATTCTATTTCCATTGTCGTTGGTGACGTCATGGGCGCTGCATTTTCCGATGTATGGACTATATTTATTTTCTTTCCCTATTTTTGCATTAAGATCTCCAATTATGATCTTGATGTCGTTTCTGGGACATCTATCGTAGATGGTCTCTACTTCCTCATAGAATTGATCTTTGACATCCTCTTCTTTGTCTTCGGTATTATTGTCTTTTGTGATATTATTTTCCTTATTTCTTTTGTCACCTCACCTTATAGTATATTTTTATCTTCCGAATCTAAATCAAAGCCAGTTCTTACCAGATTGTTCTTAATTATTTCGTTCTCTAATTTCACTTCTACTCTGTTGCCATAAAGTCCATATTTCTTCTCTTTTCTTTTTCCATTTTATCCGTCCTCTTCTCCAGTTCGTTCATTTTCTGTTTCAGTTCCTTATTTTTCTCTTTTATATCTTTGTTTTCTTCTTCTAGTTCTTTAAGCTCCCGTCTATACTGCTTCTGTTCATCTTTTATTTCTTGGGCATCTGTAGTTAGTTTTGTTATATTTTCAGTTAGTACATTTTTAGTGCTAGAACCATTTTATTTTCCTTTCCTTTTTTTTACAACTTTACCCCTTCACCTTTTTTGGCTATTATCCGTATTATATTCGTTATCGCCACGATTCATTGTTATTTTCCACGCGTTCTAGTTTCTGTAGTTTCTGCAGTTCTAGAAATTGTCAAAATACCATTCTGTCCATTGGATCTCTCATTTGCTATCAGGACTACAATTACTACTTTCTTTTTACTTGGTCTTCGGAATTCAACTTAATTTACTTGAAAGCTGGCAACGTCGCAAATTATTTTGGCGACCGGTGCGGTGGTTTTATTGGATACTATCAAATTTGGGAAGTAATCTGATTGTTATATTTTGATATTTATTCAAATTATTGGTGTCCATCAAATATTAAAATCTCCAAATGTGTCCATTAATTTGTCTTTTTTAATTTTAGGCGATCACAGTAGACAAGATTCCATGGATCCCATAGATGACTGGAACGAAGAATGTAATTGCAAACCTTTGGAAAGGCGGCGACGTCGAGAACATAGATGTTTGGCGCATTCTCTGGTAGGTACGCCGAATTACATAGCACCGGAAGTACTACAAAGAAAGGGCTATACACACGTCTGTGATTGGTGGAGCGTGGGTGTCATTCTGTACGAAATGTTGGTTGGTCAACCACCGTTTTTGGCTAACACTCCCGCTGAGACTCAATATAAGGTAAATATTTAGCTTCTATAAGAAGTTACGTACGATAACTAAATATCTTTTGTTGTTTGTTTTATATCAATTTACTTGTCTAGGTGATAAATTGGGAAACCACCCTACAAATTCCGAAACAAGCTAACCTCTCAGCTGAAAGTACAGATCTAATATTAAAATTGTGCTGTAGTGCCGAAAAGCGCCTCGGCAAAAATGCTAGTGAAGTGAAATCTCATCCTTTCTTCAAGGACATCGATTTCGAGAAAGGACTTCGACGTCAACAGGCGCCTTATAAGCCACGCATAGAATACCCTACGGACACGTCCAATTTCGACCCGATCGACCCGGACAAACTCCGAAATTCGACGTCGATAGATTCCAACAACTCGGACGAGCTGGTCGACAATTCGAACTACTTCCACGGCTTTTTCGAGTTCACTTTTAGACGATTCTTCGATGACGGTGGTCTGACGTCGTTCAATAAGATCAACCTAGACGATAACGATAACCAAGGCGGGCCGGTTTATGTGTGACAGTTAGTGACTGGAAGGGGTGGAACCCCGTTCATTTGAGTTCAGATTTGTTCGAGTGCGGCCGTGCGTGACGGCCCGCTCATCTTGCCAAAAGCCCCGGTTATCGCTATAACTATTATTCGAACGGAGAAAAGATTTTCCGTGTTGAAAAGGTATATTTCTTTGTGTTTCTTTTTTGTGTTTTTTTATCCGTACAAATTGACTAAGAAACGAAAATTCTGGAGTAAACGCTGTTGCCATGATACATTTTAAAACAACAAAACGTAGATATTAATCGTTCGTGTTCTTATTATAAATATTGATAACCAGCCTACCATTTGGCAACAATACTGTTATATCAGTCACCGAATATGCTTATTAGGTTGTAAATTTGCACTTGCCGCTACAAATCATCCGTGGAATTCTATTAAAGAAAGAAAATTTTTGTTTTTTGTCTATATTTATAGCGAAATTTATCTAAAACTTTTTATTTAAAAAGTAAACAAAGCCAGTAAAAAACTAAAAGATCTATTGATTATAGTAAAAAATATAAACATAATTTGAGATATACAGTATCGGAAAGAATTTAAGGTGGGGATGCACTTTGAACGGTGGGCAGTAAGAGAAACTTATTTTATGTCATACTAGTTTATTATTGTGTTTTTATAGCATAGTTACCAACTACGTAATATTGTACTTTATGCCCGCGCGGGCATAAAGTGTACTTTATGGCCCGTACGGACATAAAGGTACAAACAAAAAGATAACTTATTAGAAACATCTTTATTTAACAACATTTCAAAACATTATTTAGAATTCACATAAAACTAGCAATTCTGAAAGGATCCGGTGATATTAGAGTAGCTGCGGCAAACGTTGACTTATGTTTCATAGCTTGGGTGACAAGTTGCTGTAAGGAAACGCCAGATCCAGAAGGTGAAACCTCATTGTTTTAAGATCTGTTGTCTAAATATCTTTCAGTAACCGACGTACTCTTCCATCCACCATGGCGCTTTAACGTAATCATACTGGCTCCAGCTTCTGCCAGAAGAGTTGCCGAAGTCCGACTCAGGCAATGACCTGTGTACTTCTCAAGGACTGCTGAAACCCAGATATTTTGCAATGGTGGAGGGGATTTTTCCAAATGTGTTCTTTCCAACTGGCTGTACAGTACAACGACCTTGTCTGTAGGTAAAAAATACCTTTTTTTCTGAAGAACCACGGTGTCAGACATGTAATTCCGTTCTAACTTAAACTCTTCAGTTCATCTTCGTCAATAATTGTAAAAACACGCTGTTTGTCGGTTTTTGTCGCTGGTACGTTTACTGACTTTTCAATTTCCACTTCGGAAATCGTTCTCAAAATACAAACAGTAAATTAAACAAATTTTGTTTTTTTTTTTAAATTAAACAACAAAAAACAAAATTTGTTTAATTTACTGTTGGTACGTTTACGACGAAAACTGATTTTCTATTTTCTACGTGAGTAACCAACATATTCACAAATATTGATGATACTTTGTTCATTAATAATATTTTGTTCGGTGCTTCGTGAATAAATTTTAAAACAACTCTAGACTTTTTTGGTTGATAGCCTTTCGAGTCTTGCTTCAAACATTCGATCAATTTATGGTAATTGGCAATGTTAATATTGTTGAGTTTTTATTAATTCTAATTTATTGTTCTTAATTTACTAAAGGTTCTATTTATAACACTCACAAATTTATTAAAGTCTTTATTTGTACTAATTTATTTTACAATAATTTATTACGACCGTACATTTAAATACGCGAGCGCGAATTTATCTTCTTACTAACTGGTCTCCAATAAAAATCCTGTTATTTATATCCAAACACCGTTATCTAGAAGGGTCTGGGGAATCCTTCCGATTATACCAGAAAGTAAATTGGCTGGGTCATCGTTCGACCGATTTCTGGAAACTTCGACCGACCGTTTCAGGTATATTTCTGCCAGCTGATCGAAGGGTCTCGTCGAATCTACAACATATTTAGTAAATAAACAACATGTTTACAGGTTTTTTTAATATGACTAATGTGTTCTACATTGTTTTCTGTCATCCAGTTCTGTAATTATTCATATTCCTTGTCGTAGGCATCTCCCAACTTTTGCGTTGCTTTTTCCGCTTTTTTAAAATTTGGTTAGGGATCTCAAAAATATCTTGCATTTTCACGGTTTTGGTTTGACACGTTTGACAGCATTTCCGTAGCTTATCAACATAACACGGACGATAGAATATCTGCTAGTAAATATATTGTCAAAATGAAATCGAATTTTTGGATTTTTTAGAACATATTTATGTGTAGATGCGATAAAGAACTAGTATGACATATGCCCTCGGGGACAGAGCCCCTGGGGATTGTAACATAGTCGCCCTCTAGGTATAAACATCTATTTAATACCCTTAGTACATAAATAACTATAAAACGATATAGCGCTACTAGTAGGAGAGGCCACCAAACCAATTCGTTTCATAAGTATGTTGTAATGTAACGCAACGTTGCCAGGTCATCGAAGTCAGGAAATCGTATGCTGTCGTTCAAATTATCGTATTTTGGTGTACGGATTATCGTACTTACTTATATTACTTACAAAAAATTAACGAAGTAGAAAAATAATTAATTTTTTATATTTATATATTAATATACATACAGGGTGGTCCTTAAGTAATTGTACAAAAAGAAACTGTAGATTCTACACTTTAAACTATTACGATTTAAGCCAAATTGCTTTAATAAAATGTCGATATTAATAAAGATGCAGGGTGTTAAAGTGTAAATTTAAAATTTAAATTTTTGCTATAACTTTTATGTTTATGAACATTTATGTATCAAAATTCATAACTGGGTACAATTGAGCATCAGTAATTATAATTTTATGCATACTTTAATGTAGCTGATAGAGGGCGCTACATAAGCCACATACGTGGCATACATTTGCACTTAACTTTTTTGCTGTTTAAGTTACCGGTGTTTGTGACAAAACATATTAAAGATACAGTATTTTAACAAAAAAGGTATACTTGTTAATAACTTAAAAACTCAATAGTTTTCGAGATAATCGCATTTTACAAATCAACTACATAATTCATATTTAACAATTACTCCAGACAACGAAAGAAAATTAGACAAAGGCATCAATACTTCTGAATTTTGGTATAAAATGCCTTTAATAAAGTCAATACTTAACGAAATATTAAATAAAATAAACATATCAGCAGGATAGTTACTAGTAGGATTTGACGAAATAACAGAATAATTGGATTTTACATAAAATATTTTACGTTTTGTATTAAATTAAAGTCATAATCAAAACATTTTATTTACAAACCAATAGTTAATAAATAGTTAAACTAAATAACATTAAACTTTTTTGTCAAAGTAAGTGTTCGATATGTCCACCATTTTCTTTAATTCATTTGTCAATACATTTTATAAAAGATCGTATCATATTTAGCGTATTTGGTTCAAACTAAAAAAACAACACTCAAAATCAAAATAGCAACTTAACCTCAAAATCCCTACAAAAATTATATCGAATGATCCAATCAACCAATCCGATAATTAGAATTTGTGAAACTTCAACTAATATCAACTTACATCGAAGAATACTGCTGTTTAAGAGCGAACTGTACCGATCGTAAGTTCCAGTACTTAGCATCGCTGACAGCAAAGTCGCTGTTCAGAGAATTAAATTTCGGGAAAATTAAAATATTACAACATGATGTACTTGCTGCTATCTACTCAAAGAATTGTTAAACCTTAGTTTATTTGAATGCCACTCATTTTAACTGCGGCGTGAACATACCCCCTTAAAACACTTTTAAATATTTGGAATCGTCAACGTGTTTACTTCAGAATTACTGCCTTATTATACAAAAAAACTGACCAAACATTCACAGTTTATATACTTTTATTTGCTTTTTGTCGAATCAACATATTGAGAAAGATGTAACGTTGAATTGGCAATTTCGTATCGGTAAAAAACGTAAAAAACGCATTTGTGTGAAGTTTGAATATGTAACCAAAGTCCATTCTAGCTGCCTTAATATATAATGATATGCCTTTTTCAGCTCAAATTTGTGTAGTTACTCGAGAATATTTTTAAAATGTTGATACAAGGTAAGTCATCGTTTTCGTTTGTTTTAAAAGGGAGATTACGATCGTATCGACGCCGCAATGGCGAGTACATTTGCGATTGCGATTTTGATCAAGATTGTTAGACCCTCATATCTGATTAGTAAGTTGCATTTCGATTACAACATTACTGAATTAGAAATAGGGTAGTGTTATTCCACTCTCAAAAATTGTGTTTTGATAAAAGTTGCAAACTAATCACTTTTGTTGGAGTATCTGCTATTGCAACAGTTGCAAAAACATCGTACCTATTAAAATCATTAATATTATGTTCCGTCAAATTTTATATCTAACAAACTACTTCATCAGTATTCTGATACGGCAGAGTCATCTAGGTCTTTTCTTGTCAAACCATTACCTAAAACGTCTTCACATTTTTAACGCGAATATGGAAACTTGTTAATTACTATTAAACTGGGAATAAGCCACAATTAAAGATAAAAATACGTTTATTGACGTTTCAATTTCCACTTCGGAAATCGTTCTCAAAATACAAACAGTAAATTAAACAAATTTTGTTTTTTTTTTAATTAATTATTAATTTAATTTAATTACATTTTTGTTGAATTTTTTTTAATTTACTGTTTGTATTTTGAGAACGATTTCCGAAGTGGAAATTGAAACGTCAATAAACGTATTTTTATCTTTAATTGTGGCTTATTCCCAGTTTAATAGTAATTAATTTACAATGCCACAAGAAAATAGCTTCAGAACAATATTAAGAAACCGTTATGGGCCCAGCGTTATTCAAAATTTTAGGAGATTGGAAATTCTATACAAGAAACTGACACACTGTCAAAATTCAATTAAATTTTTACGAAGATGTGGAGACTTGTTGCTACGAAGTCCAGGAGTGAAGATATTTGAT